AAGTCAGTGAACTCCGAGAGCACTTCAGGGAAGCTGTCCGCCACCGCCACGTTAACATTGACTGTAGCTGATCGAGAGGGCTGCCCGTTGTCCTCCACTACAACAGTGAGTCTTTGTTTCACAGCATCTTTATCTGTCACTTGGCGCACAGTTCTTATTTCTCCATTCTGTAAGCCCACTTCAAACAGCGCCCTGTCTGTGGCTTTCTGCAGTTTATATGAGAGCCAGGCATTCTGTCCAGAGTCCACATCAACAGCCACCACTTTAGTCACCAGATAACCCACATCTGCAGAACGAGGCACTATTTCAGCCACCACAGAAGCGCCTGACTGGACCGGATACAGAACCTGAGGCGCGTTGTCATTCTGGTCCTGAATCGTTATTTTCACGCTCACGTTGCTGCTGAGAGGAGGAGAGCCTGCGTCCTGCGCTCTCACTGTGATTGTAAAAGATTTGAATTGTTCATAATCAAACGATTTTGTTGCATAAACAGTCCCACTGTCAGAATTGATAGAAACTAATGACGAAATTGGTGTGCCGTTCAAATCATTATCTGAAATGAAGTACGACACGCGTGCGTTCGCCCCCAAATCTGCGTCGTGCGCTTTAACACTGAACAAAGACAGAGATGGCGAATTATTCTCCATCACATACGCATTATATGAATCCTGCTCAAACTGCGGAGCGTGATCATTTACATCAGTGATCTTTACGTTCAAAATGTTTTTGCTAAAAAATGAAGGACTGCCACTATCTTTGGCTGTGATGGTAATATTATACTCAGGTATGTCTTCTCTGTCTAGCTCGGAGTCCGTGACGATAATGAAATAATTAGTCAAAGATGATTCGATTTTAAACGGAAGGTCCCTATCAATAAAACAGGTAATCTTTCCATTTTCTTCAGAATCGCTGTCTTGTATATTTATCATGGCCACAACGGTTCCAAGAGGTGCATTTTCAGGTATATTGTTAGAAAAAGACATAAGCGTCATTTTTGGTGCGTTATCATTTACGTCTGTAACTTCCACAATTACCTCAGACGAATCTGATAACCCTCCCTGATCTTTAGCTTGAATTTTAAACTCATGAATAGCAGACTCCTCAAAATCAAGTTCACCAATCAATCTTATTTCACCGCTGGATGGATCGACAGAAAACAGGTCGCGGATTTTGGGTGTGGTGTGCTCGAAATAATATCCAATTTGTGCATTTGAGACAGTATCCGCATCGGTTGCATTAACAGTAACCAGCAACGATCCCTTTGCGGTGTTTTCTGGGATAGATATTTTGTATGTGACCTTTTGGAAAACCGGAGCATTGTCATTTATATCCAAAACAATAATGTGTATTTTCACCGTGCCAGATCGCTTGGGGTTGCCTCCATCTGTAGCAGTTATAGTTAAATATAAATGTTCTTGTTTCTCTCTGTCTAAAGGCGTTTGCAAAACAAGCTCTACGTTTTTACTGCTGCCTGATCGACTTTGTGTCTTTACAGTAAAATGATCAGTAGGATTAACTGAATAACTCTGAATACTGTTAATGCCGACATCAGGATCAACTGCGATATCCACAGTAAAACGCGCTCCGGTTGAAGCCAACTCACTGATTTCTAATGTAATTTCACCTCTTGGAAACGCAGGACTGTTGTCATTAACATCCAGTATTTCTATGGTGATGCGATAGAGCTCGATGGGATTTTCTAAGATGACTTCAAAGCTCAGACTGCACGCGGATACAGTACCAGCGCACAAAAGCTCTCTGTCGATTCTCTCCTTAATAATGATGTGCCCTTTCTCCCGGTCCAGCGCAACATATTCGCGGCCACCTGCTGTAAAGATCCGCGCTTTCCCCGTTGTCAGCCTTTTAAGCTCAAGACCTAAGCCTTTAACTATGTCTCCGACGAAAGAACCAGGTGTCATCTCCTCTGGTACGGAGTAACGGACCTGTCCGTACGCGCCACAGAGAAAGTGTACAAAGAAAAGAAGAGCACACGGCGGCCATGCAGAATGACAATCCTTCTTTCTCATGTTGATGATGGCGCTTCGATTAATCTCTCAACAAAAATATATAAAATATCCACTCGACAGCGCAGAAAAGATAAAAAAAAAACTATATTAAAGTGAATATTAAAAATGAACCAGAGCAAGAACACGGTCTGTCAAAAGCATCGTCCAGTTTTTGCGGTGCGCACGGCTTTGTACTAAATGCACAGCCCTTTCATACGAAAGTGGCACGGAAGGCGTGTATTATGCATAAAAACAGACAGATCTACCTTATCAACCAACAGCGACGCTTAGGGTTCAATCCAAGAACTGCAAAATTCTTGTCACAGGTGCTTTATTAGAGCTGTCTATGAAAACGGCGGTACTGGAGCAGGGTGCAAGCCGCAACATCAACTTTTACGCACATCATTGTGAATTAAAAGCACACCATTTCTTTTCAAAACAGGTGAAATAATTATAATCACTTTTAAACAGGCAAAAGTATTTTGTGGAAAGTTAAAGGAAAATGTACAAAACTCCACACACTCCTTCCTATACGCGATGTTTTAATTATGTTTATATTTTTTACACATTAATAAATAATAGAATATTTCCAAATGCAGCATTGATAAAACTAAATTAAGCAATTCAAATAAACACAATCTCATTCCACACACCTCACCTGATTTTCTGTATCTCTGGATATCTGTTTACGCTCCTGAATGTTAGTGAGTGTCTGCGTTCCACCGGCGTCCAAACTAATGATGCTCTGACTACAAGGTCGGACAAATTTCAGATCACTCTTTCTTGAGTCAGTAGTCCCACACATTTCATAATTAAACACTTGCTTTAGAGTTCCTGTGCCCCCTACGTCTGCGTAAAGAGGCGGATAATACGGAATAACTGGAAGATTCGCTCCAAGCACCCACATAATCCAAATCGTCTTTCACAAAAAGACTTAGAAAGGATGTAAAATATCAGTGATGTTAAAAGAAGAGTCAATCGATGGTTCAACCATCTAATGTTAGAGAGAAACCGTGTGAAATGAAAGAGATATTCTGCAGACTGTATGATGTCAGAAAGTGGAGGAGGATCTATGAAAAGCTGTTTAAAAGAGCTCTACATACTGACCAACAGCGGCACTTAGAGTATAAAAGAAATATTGCGTTGAAAAATTGTTTGATACAGAGCAAATCTAATAAAAATGGAAAGAAATAACAATAATAATGATGATAATGATAATAATAATAATAATAAATAATTTTTAACACAAATGTTAGATTGGATTACTTGTTTACTTAACGACTTAAAAGTTAAGGTATGGCGTGATTCATTGGGACGCACCCGTTTGTAAACACATACATACTAAAATATTAAGGAAATCAGAACATGCAATTGACAGTTAAAATTAAAGGCAGAAAAAAATATTTATAACGATTCACTCGAGCTCACCTGATCAAAAGAATGCTCATCATTTAGTTTTGCTCTTTGCGCATGCGTGAGTGTTTGTGTTCCGCTGCTGTCCAGACTAATGATGCTTTCACTGCAAGGTCTGCCGTATTTCAGATCACTCTTTCTGGAGTCAGTGGTTCTGCAAACCTCATAATTGTACACGTGCTGTAAAGTTCCTGTGCCCCCTACGTCTGCGTAAAGAGGCGGATAATACGGAATAACTGGAAGATTCGCTCCAGATTTGTAAAACATCCGCTCGCGTCTCCATCTGTAGCATTTGACTGACAGTATGGCGATGATAGACACGATAAAGAGAAACGAAACTACAGCCAAGGCCAAGACCAGATAGAAAGTCAGGTTGTCGTTGTAATCCTTGTCGTGCGTAAAGTCAGTGAACTCGGAGAGCACTTCAGGGAAGCTGCAGAGATTTTCAGAGTCAGTGTTTTATTAGTAGAGAAAGAGGGTGAGCCCTCATCAATAGCTGTTATCGTGATATTATATTCTGAGACCTTCTCCCGATCCAAAAGCTCATCAGTGACTAAACTGTAAAAATTTGGGCTTGATGACTTTATTTTAAACGGTAAATTCTGAGCAATGTAGCACTTGACTATTCCGTTTTTCCCTGAATCTAAATCTTTGACATTCAGCATTGCTATTACAGTCTCTGGTGCTGAACTCTCCGCCACTGGGTTTGAAAATGAAATTACGCTTATTATAGGAGCATTGTCGTTTATATCAGTAATTTCAATATGTACTTTGCTAGTGTCACTTAATCCTCCTTTGTCTGTTGCTTCTACGTATAATTCATATTTTTTTGATTTCTCGAAATCCAACTGACCATTAACTATAATATCTCCAGAACTGGAATCTATTTGGAAAAGGTTAGATAACCGTTCACTGCTCTGTGAAAAAGAATAGGTAACATCTCCATTAGATCCCACGTCTTTATCAGTTGCACTCACCCTTAACACAGAGGATCCTTTAGGAAAATTCTCTGGAATAGATGCTTTATAGATTGAGTGACTGAAAACAGGAGCGTTGTCATTTGCATCTAAAACAATAACGTTTATTTTGATAGTGCCCGTTTTTTGAGGGTTTCCGCCATCGAAGGCAGTTAAAATCATTTTATGTTCTTTTCCAGTTTCTCTGTCAAGGGGTTTTTGCAAAATCATTTCTACGTATTTTGTATCGTCGAGATGAGCAGGTATTTTAACTGTGAAATGATCAGATGGGGTTAATTTATATGTCTGAATAGAATTTAGACCTACATCAGGATCATTAGCGCTATCGATTGAATATCGAGCCCCAGACAAAGCAGATTCGCTTATCTGAAAAGTAATCTCTTTTTTCATGAAAACAGGAGCATGATCATTTATATCTAATATTTCTACATCAATTCTATGCAGCTCCATGGGGTTTTCTAGAATGATTTGAAAATGTAAGGAGCAGGGAGACACTTGGGCGCACAGCTCCTCTCTATCTATCCTCTCTTTCACTAGCAGAGTCCCTTTATCCACATTCAGACCGATGTACTCACGACTGTCCTCCGTAAAGATCCGCGCTCGACCAGATTTCAGCCTCTTTACATCCAAACCGAGATCCTGAACAATATTTCCCACCAGCGAGCCCTTTGTCATCTCCTCTGGAACAGAATAACGGACCTGCCCGCGCGCAACGGTCATGACAAAGACGAACAGCACGAGAGGCTGCATTAGCCATGATGAAATCCGCGTCGAAGATGCGCTTCTTTTGGCGTAAAAACAAAGAAGAACCGACATAATCCAAATGTTCTATTCACTGAAGAAAAAAAGATGAACAATTGATTCAGAAAGGTTGAAAATATAAAAGTTCATCCGAAAATACAAGGCAGCGAATGTCTCGATGCTGTAAAGAAGAGATCGTCTGAATGAAAGAAAGATTCTGCAGAATGTGATGTCAGAAAGTAGAGGAGGATCTAAAAATGAGTGTTTAAAGCCCGAACATACTGACCAACAGCGGCACTTAGTGCATCAGAGAAACATTACAATGAATAAATAAATAAACACTGATAAGGAGCAATACAGATAATGACATGAATTGCGACTAGTATATACGTACTTTGCGTTAAGGCAGAATTTTGCTGAAATATTAATTAATGATGCTTTGAAACGAACACTTAAAATATGATGAAAGGAAAATAGGCAATAGCAAAGCAGAAAATATAATATAGCCCTTAAGTAGATCAGGTACGATTCATTGTGTGCACAAATTAGCTAAATTTAAAAGATAAAAAAAACGAATATCTGAGTGCAACTGGCAAAATAAAAATGAAAACACGACTGTGTATGTATTATTTATTTTTATATATACAACATAGAAAGGTTATGGTTTTGATTTGAAGTGTGAAAATGTGTGGTCACTAATCCTAGGCATCTCCTATTATCGGTAAATTTCAACTACAGCAATTTCTAATACAAATCTAAATAATAATAATAATAAATACATAAATGAAGTACAGTGCACAGCCATAAAAGCGATGAGGCCAGAAAGATAAAATTATATATACATGGACACTATAAAGTCATAGTCATGATCATTCACTCGAGCTCACCTGATCAAAAGAATCTTCGTTATTCAGTTTTCCTCTTTGCGCATGCGTGAGTGTCTGTGTTCCGCTGCTGTCCAGACTAATGATGCTTTCACTGCAAGGTCTGCCGTATTTCAGATCACTCTTTCTGGAGTCAGTGGTTCTGCAAACCTCATAATTGTACACGTGCTGTAAAGTTCCTGTGCCCCCTACGTCTGCGTAAAGAGGCGGATAATACGGAATAACTGGAAGATTCGCTCCAGATTTGTAAAACATCCGCTCGCGTCTCCATCTGTAGCATTTGACTGACAGTTATATTCAGACATTTTTTCACGGTCTAAAATTTGATCAGTGATTAAACTGTAGAAATTTGAGGATGATTGTCTTATTTGGAACGGTAAACTAGGATTAATTAAACATCTCACCTGTCCATTTTCCCCCGAATCTAAATCTTTGACATTCAGCATCGCTATCACAGTCTCAGGAGCTGAATTTTCTGGCAAAGGGTTTGAGAAAGATATTACATTAATTACAGGGGCATTGTCATTAACATCTGTAATTTCCACCATAACTTTAGCAGTATCTGTTAAACCACCAATGTCTGTCGCCACCACATTTAATTCATATTTCTTGGTTTTTTCAAAGTCTAGAAGGCCAGTGATTAATATATCACCGTAAGAAGGATCGACATTAAAAATATTTGAGATGCCTTTGCTACTTTGGGAAAATGAATAGGAAACTTGTTTATTTGTTCCTTGATCTGCGTCAGTTGCACTAACCTTTAAGACTAATGATCCCATTGACGCATTTTCAGCTACAAGTGCTGTATATACAGACTGACTAAAAACAGGCGCGTTGTCATTTGCATCCAAGACAATAATGTTAATTTTCAAGGTTCCAGTTTTCTGGGGGGATCCACCGTCAAACGCGGTTAAAATCAGATTATACTCCTCCTGTTTTTCTCTGTCTAATGGAGTCTGTAAGACCATTTCGACATATTTAGTACCGTCAGTGTGAGACAAGGTTTTGAGCACAAAATGGTCGTTCGGATTTAATTTATACGTCTGAAGTGAATTTAAACCTACATCTGGATCTTTAGCGCTATCGATTGAGTATCTGGCTCCAGGTATCGCTAATTCACTAATTTGAATATGTATCTCTTTGTTTATGAATACTGGAGCATGATCATTTATATCTAATATTTCTACATCAATTCTATGCAGCTCCATGGGGTTTTCTAGAATGATTTGAAAATGTAAGGAGCAGGGAGACACTTGGGCGCACAGCTCCTCTCTATCTATCCTCTCTTTCACTAGCAGAGTCCCTTTATCCACATTCAGACCGATGTACTCACGACTGTCCTCCGTAAAGATCCGCGCTCGACCAGATTTCAGCCTCTTAACATCCAAACCGAGATCCTGAACAATATTTCCCACCAGCGAGCCCTTTGTCATCTCCTCTGGAATAGAATAACGGACCTGCCCGCGCGCAACGGTCATGACAAAGACGCACAGCACGAGAGGCTGCATTAGCCATGATGAAATCCGCGTCGAAGATGCGCCACTTTGGGCGTAAAAACAACAAAGAACCGACATAATCCAAATCCTCTGTCCCACTACAGAAGAAAAGTCGAACAAACAAAAGATTCAGAAAGGTTGAAAAATATCAAACTTCATCCGAAAACACAGGGAATGTCTCGATGCTTCAGTGTTAAACAGAGATCGTCTGAACGAAAGAGAGATTCTGCAGAATGTGATGTCAGAAAGTGGAGGAGGATCTAAAAACCAATGTTTAAATCCCAAACACATTGACCAACAGCGGCACTTAGTGCATCAGAGAAACATTACACAGAAAAAAAACAAAAACGTTTTTTGTTAAAGAGAAATAATAAAATAATAAAAAAAACCTTCATTAACTGCAACCAAAGTATATATTTTGCGTTAACGGGTTTCCCCCTAAAATACCAATAACAACATGATATTAACCGAAGACCTAAATATGACAAAAGGAAACAGTCGGAGGCAAAGCAGAAAATATAAAATAGCCCTTTATCAATGAAGGTACGATTCGTTGTGAATCACTCATGCGCGCACACATAAGCACACACACACACACACACACACACAAATAATTTAGTGTAAAATATGAAAATTAGTACGTTTAATATTAAAATTATGAAAAATGTATAGTCACAAAAATGCTACCGGTACAGTAAATTTGTAACTTTTTGCCAGTTTGCACAAAAAAATAAAATAAAATAAATAAAAAAAAAACACTGAAAACGTCAAAAAGAAAAACCATTAAACGGAAAAGACAAAGTCATATTCCTTCCCATTCACTCGAGCTCACCTGATCAAAATAATCCTCATTATTCAGTTTTCCTCTTTGCGCATGCGTGAGTGTTTGAGTTCCGCTGCTGTCCAGACTAATGATGCTTTCACTGCAAGGTCTGCCGTATTTCAGATCACTCTTTCTGGAGTCAGTGGTTCTGCAAACCTCATAATTGTACATGTGCTGTAAAGTTCCTGTGCCACCTACGTCTGCGTAAAGAGGCGGATAATACGGAATAACTGGAAGATTCGCTCCAGATTTGTAAAACATCCGCTCGCGTCTCCATCTGTAGCATTTGACTGACGGTGTATGACTGACGCTGAAACACAGGGGCGTTGTCATTGACATCGGAGATTTTCAGAGTCAGTGTTTTATTCGTAGAGAAAGAGGGTGAGCCCTCATCAATAGCTGTTATTGTGATATTATATTCGGATATTTTTTCACGGTCTAATAATTGATCGGTTGTCACACTATAGAAATTTGAGGTGGATGACTGTATTTTGAATGGCAAATTTGGAGCAATAGAACATTTAACCTGTCCGTTTCTCCCTGAATCGAAATCTTTGACATTCAGCATCGCTATCACAGTCTCTGGCGCTGCGTCCTCGGGTATTGGGTTAGAAAACGAAATTACGCTTATCATGGGTGCATTGTCATTAACGTCAATTAATTCGATAATAACTTTACTGGAATCTGTTAAGCCACCTTTATCTGTTGCTTCAACATGCAATTGAAAATGTTTTGACTTCTCGAAATCCAGGTCACCGTTAACAATAATGTCACCACTTTGTGAATCTATACTGAACAGTTCTAAAGCCTTTCCTGATGTTTGTGAGAAGGAATACGCCATTTCAGCATTCGTGCCTTTGTCTTTATCAGTTGCAGTCACGCTCACAACATCAGTGCCCTTTGCTGAATTCTCTAATAAGGAAACTCTATACACGGGGAGACTAAACACAGGAGCATTGTCATTTGCGTCGATTACAAGAACACTTATTTTAATAGTGCCTGATTTCTGAGGACTGCCGCCATCAAACGCCGTCAATATTAATTTATGCTCCTCTTGAGTTTCTCTATCTAGTGTTTTTTGTAGAATCATTTCAACATATTTCAATCCATCATTACCCATCTGTTCTTTCAGAGAAAAATGATCAGTCGGATTGAGTGTGTATTTCTGAAGGGTATTTAAACCCACATCAGAATCTTGCGCATTATCTAAAGAAAATTTTGCTCCAGGAACAGCCAACTCACTAATTTGAAAGCTTATTTCCTTTCTAACAAAAACTGGAGCATGATCATTGATATCTAATATTTCCACATCGATTCTATGGAGCTCAATTGGATTTTCTAGAATGATCTGAAAATGTAATGAGCAGGGAGACACTTGGGCGCACAGCTCCTCTCTATCTATCCTCTCTTTCACTAGCAGAGTCCCTTTATCCACATTCAGACCGATGTACTCACGACTGTCCTCCGTAAAGATCCGCGCTCGACCAGATTTCAGCCTCTTTACATCCAAACCGAGATCCTGAACGATATTTCCCACCAGCGAGCCCTTTGTCATCTCCTCTGGAACAGAATAACGGACCTGCCCGCGCGCAACGGTCATGACAAAGACGCACAGCACGAGAGGCTGCATTAGCCATGATGAAATCCGCGTCGAAGATGCGCCACTTTGGGCGTAAAAACAACAAAGAACCGACATAATCCAAGTCTTCTATTCCACTTCAAAAGAAAAGACAAAGAACAAAATATAAAGAGAGATTGAAAAATATCAAAGTTCATCCGAGAACACAAGGCAGCGAATGTCTCGATGCATTAGTGTTAAACAGAGATCGTCTGAATGAAAGAAAGATTCTGCAGAATGTGATGTCAGAAAGTAGAGGAGGACCTAAATACGAATGTTTAAAGCCCGAACATACTGACCAACAGCGGCACTTAGTGCATCAGAGAAATATTACACTAAAAATGCTGTTAAAGAGCAATAAAGAAAATGTCATGAATTGCGACCAAAGTAGTATATACTTTACATTAACGAGGACTTTTGCTGAAATATTAATAAGATTATGTTCTGAACCGAACATCTAAGAATAAAAGGAAAGCCCTAGTTATACAGGCACGATTCAATGAGACTTTCATACGCAGAATAAAAATCTCTTAGCGCAATTACGAAAATAAAAGAATACTGTGTCTGCATGCAATTTCCTATAAATAATTTAAAAGTTAAGGTTTTGAAATTAACAAGTGTGAAAAATAGTCTCGAAAATGCTATCGGTACAGTACATTTCAACTACAGCTTCTTAATTTAAAAATTATAAATCTAAAAAAAATACAGTGCACAGTATAAAGCCAGAACGGGAATAAATAAATGAACACCAAAAAGTCATATTCCTAACCATTCACATCAGCTCACCTGGTCATAAGAATCCTCATTATTCAGTTTTGCTCTTTGCGCAAGCGTGAGTGTCTGTGTTCCGCTGCTGTCCAGACTAATGATGCTTTCACTGCAAGGTCTGCCGTATTTCAGATCACTCTTTCTGGAGTCAGTGGTTCTGCAAACCTCATAATTGTACACGTGCTGTAAAGTTCCTGTGCCCCCTACGTCTGCGTAAAGAGGCGGATAATACGGAATAACTGGAAGATTCGCACCAGATTTGTAAAATATCCGCTCGCGTCTCCATCTGTAGCATTTGACTGACAGAATGGCGATGATAGACACGATAAAAAGAAACGAAACTACAGCCAAGGCCAAGACCAGATAGAAAGTCAGGTTGTCGTTGTAGTCCTTGTCGTGCGTAAAGTCAGTGAACTCCGAGAGCACTTCAGGGAAGCTGTCCGCCACCGCCACGTTAACATTGACTGTAGCTGATCGAGAGGGCTGCCCGTTGTCCTCCACTACAACAGTGAGTCTTTGTTTCACAGCATCTTTATCTGTCACTTGGCGCACAGTTCTTATTTCTCCATTCTGTAAGCCCACTTCAAACAGCGCTCTGTCTGTGGCTTTCTGCAGTTTATATGAGAGCCAGGCATTCTGTCCAGAGTCCACATCAACAGCCACCACTTTAGTCACCAGATAACCCACATCTGCAGAACGAGGCACTATTTCAGCCACCACAGAAGCGCCTGACTGGACCGGATACAGAACCTGAGGCGCGTTGTCATTCTGGTCTTGAATCATTATTTTCACGCTCACGTTGCTGCTGAGAGGAGGATTTCCTCCGTCCTGCGCTTTAACGCGAATGCTAAATTCTTTTGTCTGCTCATAATCAAACGAACGAACAGCAAGAATCTCTCCGCTCTCTGCATTCACTGAAATAAATGTCGAGGCAGAGACGCCATTCACAAGAATATCTTCTAGAAAATATGAAATACGCGCGTTATTGCCAGAGTCTTTGTCATGCGTTTTAACAGATAAGACAGAGGCTCCGGGGGAATTATTTTCCATCACATATGCGGTGTATGACTGACGCTGAAACACAGGGGCGTTGTCATTGACATCAGAGATTTTCAGAGTCAGTGTTTTATTAGTAGAGAAAGAAGGCGAGCCCTCATCAATAGCTGTTATTGTGATATTATATTCAGACATTTTTTCACGGTCTAAAATTTGATCAGTGATCAAACTGTAGAAATTCTGCGCAGATGACTTCACTTTGAACGGCAAATCTGTAGCAATAGAACATTTAACCTGCCCGTTTTTCCCTGAATCCAAATCTTTGACATTCAGCATCGCTATAACAGTTTCTGGCGCGGCATCTTCGGGTATTGGGTTAGAAAATGAAATCACGCTTATTACAGGGGGGTTGTCATTTACATCTATAATGTCGATTTCCACTTTACTAAAATCAGTTAAGCCACCTTTGTCCGTAGCATCTATGTTTAACTCAAACTGCTTTGCCCTCTCGTAATCTAAACCCCCTCTTACGGTAATTTCACCTGTTTTTGTGTCAATATGGAATAAGTCAAGTGCTTTTCCTGAACTGCGTGAAAAGGAATATGCAATCTCACCGTTTGCGCCTTGGTCATTATCAGTGGAGCTTACCTTGATTACTACAGCACCATTTGGCGAATTCTCTAATAAAGAAACACGGTAAACAGGCAGACTGAAAACAGGAGCATTATCGTTTGCGTCTATGACCGTAACACTTATCCTAACGGTGCCAGTTTTCTGAGGACTGCCGCCATCGAAGGCTGTAAGGGTTAATTTGTGCTCCTCCTGAGTCTCCCTGTCTAAAGGCACTTGAAGAACCATTTCGACGTATTTCGAGCCATCGTTTCGTGATAGGACCTTTAAATCAAAATTATCTGTTGGATTTAACATATATGACTTAAGCGCGTTAGTGCCAGTGTCCGGATCCTGGGCGCTGTCTAATGAAAATCGAGCCCCGGGAAGTGCCAATTCACTTATTTGAAAATCAATTTCCTTTCTAGCGAAAACAGGAGCATGATCATTGATATCTACTATTTCTACATCGATTCTATGCAGCTCCATGGGGTTTTCTAGAATGATCTGAAAATGTAAGGAGCAGGGAGACACTTGGGCGCACAGCTCCTCTCTATCTATCCTCTCTTTCACTAGCAGAGTCCCTTTATCCACATTCAGACCGATGTACTCACGACTGTCCTCCGTAAAGATCCGCGCTCGACCAGATTTCAGCCTCTTTACATCCAAACCGAGATCCTGAACGATATTTCCCACCAGCGAGCCCTTTGTCATCTCCTCTGGAACAGAATAACGGACCTGCCCGCGCGCAACGGCCATGACAAAGACGCACAGCACGAGAGGCTGCATTAGCCATGAGGAAATCGGCGTCGAAGATGCGCCTCTTTGGGCGTAAAAACAACAAAGAACCGACATAGTCCAAGTCTTCTATTCCAGAAGAAAAGATTAAAAACTGATGATTCAGAAAATGTGAAAAAAAAAATCAAAGTTAATCCGAAAATACAAGGCAGTGAATGTCTGGGTGCTTTAGTGTAAAGAGGAAATCGTCTGAATGAAAGAGATATTCTGCAGAATGTGATGTCAGAAAGTAGAGGAGGATCTAAAAATGAGTGCTTAAAGCCCGAACATACTGACCAACAGCGGCACTTACTGCATCAGAGAAATATTACACTAAAAAAATACTTTTAAAGAGACAATGAACTACGACCAAAATAGTATTTATTTTGCGTTAAGGCAGAATTTTGCTGAACTATAAATAAAATTGTGTTTTGAAAAGAACACCTAGAATATGAGGAAGAGAAAATGGTCAAAAGCAAAGCAGAAACTACAATGTAGCCTTTCAGCAATACAGGTACGATTAATTGCGACTCACTCATGCATACACTAAAAAAACTGTAACTTGACTGAGTGCAAATGAAAAATATATAACAAAAAAGTCAATGTCTGTATCTAATTTTCTATAAAACATTGAAAGGTTATAGTTTTGATAAAGTATAAAAAAATGTAGTCTCCAAAATGTTACCTGTAAAGTATACTACAACTACTATTAACTATTACAACAACTGATATTTCTTTAATTATAAATAAAAAAATAGAATAAGTACAGTATACAACCATAAAACAGATGCAGCCAGTAATAATAAATGGACACCAAAAAGTCACATTCAGGATCATTCACTCGAGCTCACCTGATCAAAAGAACCTTCATTATTCAGTTTTGCTCTTTGCGCATGCGTGAGTGTCTGTGTTCCACTGCTGTCCAGACTAATGATGCTCTCACTGCAGGGTCTGCCGTATTTCAGATCACTCTTTCTGGAGTCAGTGGTTCTGCAAACCTCATAATTGTACACGTGCTGTAAAGTTCCTGTGCCCCCTACGTCTGCGTAAAGAGGCGGATAATACGGAATAACTGGAAGATTCGCTCCAGATTTGTAAAACATCCGCTCGCGTCTCCATCTGTAGCATTTGACTGACAGTATGGCGATGATAGACACGATAAAGAGAAACGAAACTACAGCCAAGGCCAAGACCAGATAGAAAGTCAGGTTGTCGTTGTAGTCCTTGTCTTGCGTAAAGTCAGTGAACTCCGAGAGCACTTCAGGGAAGCTGTCCGCCACCGCCACGTTAACATTGACTGTAGCTGATCGAGAGGGCTGCCCGTTGTCCTCCACTACAACAGTGAGTCTTTGTTTCACAGCATCTTTATCTGTCACTTGGCGCACAGTTCTTATTTCTCCATTCTGTAAGCCCACTTCAAACAGCGCCCTGTCTGTGGCTTTCTGCAGTTTATATGAGAGCCAGGCATTCTGTCCAGAGTCCACATCAACAGCCACCACTTTAGTCACCAGATAACCCACATCTGCAGAACGAGGCACTATTTCAGCCACCACAGAAGCGCCTGACTGGACCGGATACAGAACCTGAGGCGCGTTGTCATTCTGGTCCTGAATCGTTATTTTCACGCTCACGTTGCTGCTGAGAGGAGGAGAGCCTGCGTCCTGCGCTTTTACGCGAATGCTAAATTCTTTTGTTTGCTCATAATCAAACGAACGAACAGCAAGAATCTCTCCGCTCTCTGCATTCACTGAAATAAACGTCGAGGCAGAGACGCCATTCACGAGAACATCTTCTAGAAAATATGAAATACGCGCGTTATTGCCAGAGTCTTTGTCATGCGCTTTAACAGATAAAACAGAGACACCGGGTGAATTATTTTCCATCACGTATGCGGTGTATGACTGACGCTGAAACACAGGGGCGTTGTCATTGACATCA